GTCCCCTCCCACTTATATACATTTTTATTTAAATTAACATAAAATATCATCACACTTACTCCAAATGTATAACATAACTTACATTGAATAATTAATACTTATTGCCTGTAGAAAAGACATTTTGGAATCCCATTCACCTTGTGTTTAGACTTCTTTCCATTTAAATGTAGAAGTGCACATTCAGGACATTTTTTTTAGTGAAGCACATTTCAGACATTTTTGAAATATATTTCATAGGAGGACAGACTTTCATGTTCATTAAATGCTTTAGTATACAAAGCCCAGATACAATCATTCTTCTAGAAAAATACATTTCCCTTTGCACCTGAAACAATCCAACTTGCAAAACAGCTCAAAAGGAAGCAAAAAGTTTGCAACAAAACATCAACACACATTCACAAGTGGAGATGCCTAAAGCCAGTCCCTAAAGCTGAAAATGCTCCCAGCAGGTCCCCTAGAGATGTAACCATCTGTTCTTCAGCGCTACCACAGGTAAAACAAAGCTCCTAGAAATCCTAACAGTCCATAAATGTAGAAGCTTGAAGCTATTCTCACTCCTCTTCAAAAACTATCCTTACATTCACTGTAAGAACTAACTGTGGCAGAAGTATTTAAATATATTCCCGCACACTCAGACTCTCATCTCATAGAGACCTGAGTATCAGATTGCTGTTACCACGTCTTAAGCCTATTTTACACCAGGTATGAGTGTCCACGGCCAAAAGATGACAAAAAAAATCTTGATTATTTTAAGATCACAACATTAAAAAAATCCTGAGAACACCATATACTAAGCTGAGCTTTAACTCTAACCTTTGTCATCAACAAGTATTCCTTGTCATTACTTAGTTAAGCCCTTTTTAAATAAACACGCTCCACACATTCATTTATGCTCAAGAGACAGTCACAACAATGACTCAAGTTTCCTTCCATATTCATTAAGAAGCACTGACTTCAAGTTAGCCAAACAAAACACATACTGCCACAGTGCATGTTTATTAGACATGCAAAACTTAGCTTTACATTTGCAATACATTAGCAAACATAACACAATTTAAAACATCCCGCCAAAGAAATCAACTTTGAGCAATGTGCATATCCTTAAAAATTCTGGGAGACCAAAATAGGGAAAATTTTGTACAAATGTGATATAAAAATATTTTTCCATATGAAATAACCTTCTGTTTGAGACTCAATCCAGAACTTCATGTCCCACATTTCTATTGCTGCTCAAAAATTCCAGAACAGCAGAAAAAAAGCACAAGTATTCCCCCCCTCCCCACCTCCTTAGACAGCTCTACCCCAGCAGGCTCTGCTTAGATCACCATCTGCTTTGCTGGAGCTGAGAGGAGACAGACAGAGTTGTTACGTATTTTTGTAATTCATGATGCAGACGTGTAGGAAAGATCAGAGCACCAGAGCACAAAGCACAGGAAATCACTCCAAAAACTCAGAGATAATGGAAGAGCAGTGCCCAGGAGAACGATGCCCTGCAGTCAGCAAAGAGCGACTGCAACAGTTCAGAACTTCCCAAACATATCAGGTGCCTATGGCCAGGATGCCTGAAAATGGGTAGGAACCTTATTAAGGAGAGTTACCGCTTTTTAGGGAAAATGCCCAGATCTCTATGATGCCTTGATTTCATGCCTCTTCCTGAATCTCTCACTCAACCCTAAGACTACAAGGTGAAGTTTTCCAGGTGACACCTGTTAGCACAATGTTCTTTTACGAGCAAATCTCCATATAGCTCTACCTGCTTAGTTGAGCTGGATAGCAAGGACAGCGCCTGAATTCTTAACATGACTTTTTTTTCTTTTGCAAGAGTGCTCATTAGGCTATTTTGTGTTTACCTCTAACACCTGTGCAGCAAAAGAGTGACCAATAACACCAGAGCACCAACAGCACCATGCGATTCAAGTCCTGTGTTCACTTTCACAAAGTGACTTCACATTTACACAAAGCTCAACCTGTTTGTCTTACAGCTTCCCCATGGCTTCAAGCAGAGAATTTTATGTTTCATTTACTTCAGGAGAAAAAGAAACCCATTTCCTGCTAGCAAAACGACCCTCAGCTGCGTGGCAATTATTGAGCTCTGTAATCAGTAAGCATCTGAGGCTCCTTGCTGTAAGCATGACAATTACAGCTACTCATGTCTTACTGCTTAATAAGAAAAAAGTCACAGTAACTTCAAGCCTAACGATTGCTGATGCTGCCACAGACTATTTTAAGCATTGATTTTTAAAATTTTACACAGAAGAATCCTTCAAATCCACAGAAAAACATTATTTCCCCCTGTATTCTGTCAACATGGGACAAAGGGTTTCTATGAATAACTGGACATTGACTCAAACTCTGATTACCATCTAACGTGGAGTCCTAAATTCTAGAGAAGGAAGAAGGGTTTTAAAGTGCTGTATGTCCATACTTCAAGAATATTTCAGAAGAGTAAATCAATTCTGGAAGATATTACTGATTTTTTTTTCTCAACAAATGACTTTACAGCACAGCTGCAATTTTCTCTACAGTGAAGAGCATTATGGAGTTTCTTTAACAGGTGTAATTTTATAAGGTCAGATTAATTTAAGGAACAGAAGTCAGAATTTTAGTTCATCATGAATTCACAGAATCACTTTATGAGTGAGCTGTGAAGGATGAGCTCACTCTTTACAGCATAATTCATGACTACGCACAAAATACAGCCTCCAGTATTAATACGTATGACTGTACTTCTAGTAAATTTGTTTTAACCCACATAGCTAGTGAAAAACAGGGCAGAAAGCTAAATGTTAGGTTTCTTCCTATATACAAGAATTTCAGCAAGAAAGAAATTATTGTACACAGGTTTATACTACAAGCATCACCCACTAGTAAGGCAGACACTGGAACTGAGCACTCCTTCACCACACACGTGCTGCCACTGTTCTGTTCACAAAGGAAACGCTGGAGCCCTGTCCATTGCTGCCCACCGTGCTACAGAACAGCAAAAGGACCTGCAAGAGGCTGTGACACTAAGCAACTGCTATCCTGGTAAAACTCAATACAGTGAGACACAGATCACAACACAAAGCAACATGCAGCAGGCCTTGTTTTTTTTGGTGTCTCTTCTCAAAAGGAAAGGACTATTAGAGATGTTTTATATTACCAGAATAAGGCTCAAGATAGGCACAGCCTCTACAAAACATGCCAAGCATTTACCACCTCACAACGTATTAGCATTTTTCTCATTTCTCCCCTTTGGCCTCCAGTATTGCACTGAAAGAGCAAGAATGAACAGTAGTTCAGCTGCTGCTCTCATTTGCAGCTTGGTGTTTGGATTTGGTTAAACAGAGTGATGCTACACTGACTCACATCAGCTTTTGTTTTAGAAGGTGTATTTATGGCTGATGTGCTAATGCTTTCTTGGTCGAGTTTCCTTTTTACAGTGAAACAAGGATAAGGAAATAGCCTTTGAGTTTTTCTGATAAGAGACAGATATGATACTCTTCAAGGAATTGCAGATTAGTAACAACACAACTCACGGAGATAAGATTGTCAGATGACGTACTGCAGCATCTCCAGAGCCTGTAATGCAGCATGAAGTGCAGTCAAACTGTACACACATAACAGTACCTCAGCTGCCTACTGAGAGCTGCACAGGAAACACCTGGTCGTGGGATTGAACCACCACTCCAAGGCAATGAAAAGCACAAAGTCACCTTTCTTTCATCACCATTTCTCGTGCAGTGTGGCTCAAGGGTGAGATTATGCATGCCTGTTAAAAGTCCCTCTGTGAATGGCCTTAATCTTGCTAGACCTAAATTTTAAATTAGATAAATAAAGATCAAGGTTTTCCTGTCTAGAATTAATACTATTTAGGGGAACTCAGCCCGCACAGTGGCATTTTCTGTAATCCAGGTCAAGAGTTAAGGTTAACAGCTAACATAAAATGCTTTCCAATTAAGGCATCATTTTTTATAATGATCTTTAGAGTATTACTGGGGCCACAGTGTAATGCTGCAACATGGTGGAGGAAGTCTAGACTGCAGGAAATTCAGCTAATAAAAATTTATTTATGTGGTCCTTCTGCCCAAATTGCTACTTGTTCAGATACATGTACATTAGCCACAACAGTGACTGCAGTATAAACTTACCCTAAGCACATGGAAAAAAGCTAAACCCAAAATCATGGCCTCTTACTCCAGCAGCAAGGCCAAATTCTCACCACCATACACCCATAACAGTGTTAAGAGCGCCTAATTTTCTCATTTCATTTTAGATTTCGTGCCATTCTGGAATGGTCGGAATATTTGGTAACTCAATTTGAGACAAAATAGAAGCCACAGAAAATCAGAAATCAATAAAACTGCATGCAAAAGCTAATAAGGGAGTTTAAAAGATGCTGTTTTTCAATAGCAGGCACCTTATATACATGTTTTACATGAAGGAAAAGATTGAAAAGCAAGTCAAGATACACTCGTGGATTATTAGATCTCATAAATGTAACACATAAATCAAGTGTTCTGCCTGACAGCAAGGAAGAGATACATTAAGATGGGAAAGTAGGCAAGAACTTTTCAGATTCACCTATTTGATAAGAAATCAATGTTAGTAGAGGCAGAACCAGGAAACTGATTGCACTGATGATGGAAATCACAACAGCAAGTTTACAGTAGACTTCAATGTTTGACAGCACTCAGTGTAATACACAGACCAACATGGACACTCTGCTCTTTTTTTCTACCAGCTTAGCTTACTACGTATGGAAACTGATCAGAAAGCTTAAATTTACCATTCACAGTAAATTATGTATAAAAATCAGCAAAGAGCATTCCAAACTTGAATTCACATTTCTTCACTGCTTACTGTCAAATCAGATTCAAGATCTATGAGGCAAAGTAAGGCAAACAAACTCGATTGCTTTTGTGCTGTAATTTCTTTTGGTGATACTTTAAAACGGGAAAAAAAAAATACCAACAATAGCATTCTCTTTCATTTTCAGACTTGAAAAGAAATTACTAGAACTATTTCCATGGGAAGAGAAACAAACAAATAATAATAATAAAAAAAACCACAAAAAAAACCAACAAAACCCAAAGACACCAACAAGAAAGATCTCCAATAACAAAACCCCCCAAACCTTTTAAGAATAAAAGTGCCTCTGTCTGCTTCTAGCTGTTCTTCAGTAGAAGGGGTATCATCATACCATCATTCCTCAGAGGTGTAGCAATTTGACTGTCAGAAGTGAGCAAACAAGCAGTAGATATTAAAATATTTCTTATCTTTGTAGCTAGTTAAGCAAAGACTAAAAATGTTTCAAAAATGTCTTGCAATCATATGACTAAGCAATTCTCATATTAAGTTTCAGAGTTTTACCTTATGAAAAAAATATTTTTAGATGCATCTTGCTTTGAATCAGACTTTGAAATAAATATTACACATGGGAAACAAAGCACTGAACCTTGGAGTCCTGTGAACACAACACAGAAAGGGGCGAGCCTGCTGGTATCATAGAGGCCTCCAAAAGCTGAATGAGATCAGAATAAAAAACAATGAAACAAATGGAAATGGAATCTTTGTACTATAAAGTAAAGTACTTTATACTACTGTTCCTGGTGAACAATATGCCTCCAGTTTCAAAGAAGTAGCAATTCAACATCTTGAAGCCAGGTATCCAAAAATGTCTTCGCTTTGCCTTAGCACTGTAGGTCTTTGACTATAAGGTTACTGCAGCTGGATCTTTATTTGATAATAGGAAGAAAGTAGGTGCTCTTGTACAACAGAAATGGCTAGGGAAATGTCCAATCCAGTTTCTTTTCTTCCCCTGGTTTAAATATGCCAAACATCTGATGCTTATTCTAAAAGCTGCCCACATTCTTTCATCGCTGGGCCTCTTCTTGCAGACCAGATGTCTCTGATGCTGCAGGAAGTATCTTGTGCTCCCGAAGAAACAAAAATACAATGAAGAATTTGGTTAATTTGCATCACTGCTTATCACAGTCTGTGGGTAAACTTAGTCAGAACACTCATCTTCTATCTCTTTTACCTTGCAATCTTCAAGCTCAGACTGCAAAGATGGCTGAGGAATGCAGCTGAACGTACGAATACTGTGCGAATCGACCGGTGGGACCAGTGTAAGCGACTCTACACTTAGTGCATCTGTATTGTCATCTGATATTAATGATATTGTGGGCTGCTGTGCAGGAATCAGGCTAGGGGACAGGTTTGCTGTTTCTATGTCACTGTTTTTTACAGCACTCTTGCTAGACTTTGAGACAGCTGAAAGAGTTTCATCAGTCAACGTCATCTGACCAGAAACAGTTGTGCGGGGCTGCTCGGGAGCTGGAGAGTCATCTATTAAAGAAAACATCAAGAAAGAATCAATATTAGATTCAACTTAGCATGTATATCATTCATTAAGCCAAAGAGTGTACTGTACTTCATGAATATTTAAGAATACTTGGGTGAAAAACGTAGTGCTATGAAGCACTGTGCTTAAAAATTTGCTTTTTAGTAATTAGAAACAACATGTAAAATATGGCACGATATCAAATGCCAGCACTAAACTGTTCACATCAAAAACTAGAACATTCACACATCTTATACTATACAGCAATACGGCAAATATTCCTAAAGAGAGGAAACAGAGGGGAAGAGTAAGAAAGCCTCCCCAGACTTTAGCACAGTCTAAACAAAATTAAGTGCCCCATACCTGGAAGCTCTTCAGAATTAGTAAAGAACCCCTGTACAACCAATCTGCCCAAGAGAACACCTATTTATTATTTTAAAAACAAAGATTTGGAAGTTGTTCACTCATTCCATTCTCTAGATTCAGTTTAAAATGACATCTGAGTCATAGAAACTACAACTACGAAAGGACAAAAAGGAGAATTATGTGCTTACGGTAATGAAGGTGCCACAAAATAAGCCTGTTTTTATGTAGGCTTTTAAATGAAATTTTGTGCTCATAGCCGGAGCATGCAACAGGGATAAAACTGGGAATGAGCCATTACATACTACAGGAAACAGATATGCTGCTGGCACTTCCTTCACAATGAAATAAAACATTTACTTGTCTTGTCCTTTTATTTTTTTTCCCTTAAAATCCTGCGAATGTCCCAGATCAGGGGGTACAGCCTTGTATGAGCGAGTATGCCCACAAATTTATCTTCTTTTCAGACTAGTAATAGATGCCATTAAAGTAACAGGTATCCAGCTTCAAGACAGACCATTTAGAGCTCATGTTAAAAAACAGCATGTGTTCAAGTGTACAGGCATCTGCAGAAAAGGCTACAAGGCAGTGTAGTGTGAATACAGAGACCAGGAATTGAACTCTGGTTTTAATACACAGTACCCTTAAAATATTTCACTTTCAATATAATTCCAATTATTTCTGTAAAAATAAAACAGAAAATGTGAACATAAGGGAGAAAAAAAAATACAAACAAAAAACCACATCAACAAAGAAAAACAAAGCTTAGAATGGAATGAGCATCAGTAAGACATCAGTGAGACAGCAGTAAAAGACAGTTTTGTTGGTTGTTACTATTATTATGTTTATTATTTTACCTTTCCCCAAACAAAGGTGCACTCTCACTTCGAAAATCATTCAATTTTACTTTTTCCTGAATCTGTAGCTAAAGCTTCTTGCTTTAAGGAAAACAAAATTTAGATTTAAAAGGACAGTCTTTGAAACAAAAAGGCCATTACTACTTATTTTTAAAAGTAAGGAGAAATTCAAGTAACTCTGCAGATTATTCTTCTTAGGTGTTACGAAGCTTTAGACAAAACTTGGCAGCTGATAACAGAAGTGATGCAACGCTTGCATGGAAAATGAATTGCTAAGAACTTTAAAATCAGGCAACAATTCATTCCTCTGAATTCCAAAATAAATGCTAACACTTCAATATTAAAAAAAAATACAGTCTCTTTGCAGTGGTTTTATCTCCTAAGCTCACAAAACCTTAAAAAAAAATTAAACACTTTGCCAAGACTTTTTTTAATAGTAAGAATTCACCAAGATTCAAGCAGCAGCCTGAGAAATTCTGGCAAATAAAGTACTGTCAGGCAGTGGTGTTCTGCTCAGGAATGGCATAATGTGTCAGGTCTCTACTGCTGCTATTTCACTCCTGGTTCTGGAGTTTCACTTCTTATATATTCAGGCCCCCTCTCCTGAGAAAATATGAGTGCATTTCCATGTAACTTTAATTCACTGAAAAGCTGACATTTCATTACACTACACTGTCCCTAATCTTTTCACACAGGATCTAAATGACTGAAGTGAATCCCTTCTTACTATAAGAAAAAAACATTTAGAAAAAACTTCATTAGAAAATAATCTGGAGTCAAAATCCACCATATTTTCTATTTGAAGGTCCTACAGTGCATTCAGAAAAAAATACAAAGAGATGGTATCAAGAAATGTAAGCAGAACAAACTCGGTGTCTAGCATCTCATAAGCAGAAAAGACAAAAGCAGAGCTCTTCCGTGCTTTTTGGGGAGGGTTTTATTTATTATTGATAGCAATAAGTCTCTCCCCTCTACTTTCCATCTTCCATTAGTCGCTGTCAGAATGTCGCTCCTGTCACTGCACTGAAGGGCAGCAGTGAGAGCATCCCTGCCAGAATGCCCAGAGAGCAGCCAGGCACCACTTAGTGCTCACAGGGGCAGGGAGTAAATATCAGTGCAGAACGAGAGGGGAGAAAAAGAAAAAGAAGTTTTAACCTTCTGGAAAAGGCCAACAGCTCTGGGTGCTATTTTGCAACATATTATCTCTTCTGGAATGATTGGTATCTGAAAACCAACCCTTCAGTCACAGCTGTAACAGCCAGAGATCACTGCCTGCCAGACTGACACCTGCATCTTCAGGACCGAGCACTCAGATTCACTGGGCCTTCAGGTGGGCACAGAGCTTTATGTGTTCATCATCATTATTACAATCTCCCAAATGTTTTGGATGCAGGAATAGAAAAAAAAATAAAATCAGAGTGTTGATGAAGTGCTAAATGGAGTAGGAAATCCAGCATCTTGGAATGAAAATTTGGAATATAGAGTATTACAATTAAAAAAACAAAACAAAACAGCAACAGAGTGCTGTGTTGATGTAGGAGGTTTTCGCATGTACCTCCCAGTTAACTCAATGCATCACTTCAGGTCAATAATTCCAAGTAAGAAAACCTTGGAAGCTCATAATTTTGGAGCTGTTTTGAACTCATGTACAATTCAGCAAAGGATCCAAATAAATATCCATGCATTTACGTATGATCTGAACTGTCTGTCTCTGAAATTGGGAAAATCAATTGGAAAAAAATATATCCTCCAACTGGAAAAAAATTATGAACAGATTATTACAAGAATGACTGTCTTTAAAAACTAGATAGTTAGCAAGCTATTGATTCAGGGGTATCAAGGCACCCAGTCTGCTATATGTATATATATCTGCTATATATCCCTACTCACTATCTGTAACTTACATCTTCACTGCATACAGTAATACTGAGTAGCTTTCAAAAAGACCCAACTTTTCAAATTTGGTTCCAGTTTACTTTTGACTTTTGGATAGAAAGAGCAAAAATAATGACAATTGTCATTTTTACCTGAATAAAATCTGGTCTCTGAAACATACTCTTCAACGTGACAAAGTTACCACCCAATATGGGAAAAATGCCTATTTACCTCTCCCCAGCTCACGTGTTCAAACAGAAGTGTTCTGACAAAAAAATGTCAGACTGGAATTCAAGTACCAAACAAGATTCAAAACCATGGTGTAACTTTGCAAAGCATTGGGTAACACCAGCTGTCCACAGCTGTGAAGGGTTCAGCACTTCTATAGTACTACCAAGGTTATCATTACAGAAACAAAACACTTCTGTTATATCATCTTATGCTATAATGGTTATTAGGGAAAAAAGATAGGAGAGAATAGAAAAAGGTAAGAATGAATATAATCTACAGAAAAGCACCTTAAACTGTACAGCTATATACAATAAAAGGATAAACAAAAATATAAATAACGGTACATTAAGTAAAAAGACACAAAGCAAGTTTAATAAATGAAAAACAGTATTTCTATAATATTAACAGAGTAAAATATTTTTATGCCACGGTGGTGAAAAAAGAAATTAATTAGACTCAACACAGGTTACAGAACTGAGAACCAGTCTGAAGCCTACTTCCATCCTTTCTGTTTATGCTTCCCCTCCCCAATCCTTCAGGCAGACAAGCAGCCCATAAATCCATTTGCCTGAGTCTGATGATAAAAAGAAGCAAGTTTGTACCATCACAGTCTGAGGACAATCTTATACTGAGTGTTGTCTCTGTTTTACCTGAGTTATAAATTTCTTGCTGCTAGCAAATACCTGCGTTACTGTCCATTCTGGACCCTGTGCTAAATTCCACTACAGCCATGGCTGCCCCTGTGCAAATGAAGACATGGCTGCTTTGAAGCTGGAAGTTTGATAGATCATTTTGTGGTATGCAGAATTGTAGTTTCTGGGGAGAGAGCCATGAAATATGGGAGAAACTGTAGGTAAGACTTTCAGAAACAGCTGAAATCCAGAAATTGCAGCACAATTCTCCCCCAAATCAGTACAGTCAAATATTAATGATGCTTTCTTCAATTTCCTACCTCACTGCCACTACTGCAAGCATGGAAACCAAGCATGCTCTATTAACTTTATGGGCTTTTGAAATCTTATGGAGGAACCTGCCTGAATGGATATTGCGTGAGTTTCGGTTGCAGCTGCTGCTTGAAGACCTAAACCCAGTGTCCACCGTGACTGTCAGCCTCCGACAGACTAAACACCCGCCGTCGTCCTTTCCTGCCAGACCTTACTAGAGGAAAACACAGCGATATATCATACCAAGGCTGTAACAGTGAAACAAGGAAGGGAAACTGGAATGAAGACAAAGGATAAATGTTAGAGCAGCAACAAGATTAAAAGTGACGAGGACGCATCTGTAACTGCTGGTATCTCCAACACAACTTGAGACCTCAACGAGTCTTTTTAAGTTTGGGAAACAGTTCTGCAGCTAGAAGTAGTCATTCTTTAGAAATAATGAATGAAGTTACTGTTTCCTTACCTATCTGGAAACATACATAATGCAGTTTGGACTACCTGAGGTCTGACAGCATTACACGGAGGCAATACCTGTAGGCTTTTTCATCACAAACTACATATGTGCTACAAAACCTTGAGAAAAGCTATCTATTACAAATTCTAGTAATATAGCATTATTTGGATTCCCACTGGCAATAAATTACATGAGGTGCCCCACAGCACAGATGATAATACTTCAGCCCACTCCGTGCTACTGTCCTAAGAAGTGACACTGAAGTATTATACTTGGATTAAAACAAAGGCAAATACAGAACTTTAAAAGATAGCAGCAGTTAAGATGATGGTGCTTGGTGCATAGAAAGCTTCTGAGCAAGAAACTTTCTAGAAACAAAAAACTAGTTACTTGCCTAATTAGAAAATTACTAGCATTGGAGAACAGATCATACCACGTTTACATTACTGATCATAAAAGAAATAGGGATGGTTTCAGTAAGACAGCAGGCACTGCTCTCACAGGCTCTCCATCCTTGATCAAGCATCCTCTACTTGGAATACTAAGTTTTATTTTGCAGATGGTATCCAACATTCTCTGCAACAGGGGACATGATTTTCATACTTATTTTAGACCATTTACCATTAATATCTGCCAGAAGCATGAAATAAGACTTCAGTGGCATAGAAGATCATTGCCTCCTGGAGTCCTCAATAACCACTGCTCCAATGTAAACATTTTCTTAAGTGTTGAAGCCAAATGAATTTTAAAGCCTTAAGCAACTCAAAGAGTGATAAAATACAACACTCATGCCATTACATACCCATAACTCTAGAAGACTGCTAACTTACAGTAACAGCTTCTTTATCTTAATCCTTGGCTTATATAAAAATAAGCACTTCAGAGAAGTTCACGGTTCCAGCAAATGCAGCCAAGAAGAGACTGTATTCTAAGTTCAGAAATTTAATGATAAAAATCTGCCTAGCAAGAGCATTTTTACTGTAGGCAGAGCAGCACTTCAGATGGACATGCTCATTTTAAAAGACTGTAAATATGAAGAAAAACACCTAATAGAGCATTTGCAGAATTTGCTGTACTTTTTCTATCTTGCCATGGGCTACTCTTTCTTTAAGGGATGGACTCTGCTTTTTCAGTTTTAAGGAACAGGGCTAAGCTTAATGCCCAGGTATTGTAAATGCAGGAGCTGCTGGACTTTAAGAAAAAAAAAATCTATGCCACAGAGTACTGTGACAATGGTTGGTAAACTCAGGAATTATACAAGCTTCTTTTGCATCCGATAAAGTAGTTAATGCAACTGTTGTTCTCTTCCATTAAGAGAAATGCACTCAATCAAATGATTCTGCGTAAGTTCAGTTAATCTTCCTTCTCACAGTATGATACTGTTTGATGCATGATGGAGCAAGGAAAACATTTTTTTTTTTTTTTTTTACAAAACAAAAGACCCATGATTTTCTGTGATACATTTTCAAAGGCTTTTTTTTTTTTAATTGCTTACCTGTTAATCCTGTAACATTTGTATTTGTCAACTAACAAATGCGCAACGTGTCTTTATTTTGTTCTCATCTATCAATATTCTATGTAAAATTCAGTGTATTATGCTCTCAATATCTGTGTAGATTACAAGTACCAAATTTTGAACACCTTAAGTCTGTCAATAAACAATCTTGGGATGGCATGATCTCAAATTTACAGCAGAAACAGCTGATGTTGTTCTTAAGATTGTTGAGGTGATTTTCTTGAAATGCACATATTAATCTCTTTTTTTTGGTTAGTTGACCTTCTTGCCAGAAGCTCCTGAGCAACCCTGCGTGTTCTCCATGGTCAACAACCCAATCAGCTGGTACAAAAAACTTGAGAGCAGAGAAAGAACACGTTTGTGTGTATTTTGAATGGAATGGGAAACGAGAAGGACTCTAATGTGACAGACTGCAGCAGCATTCAAGTGCTACCTTGGAGCATAAAGCAGATCTTAGCAACTTCTTGCTGCTAATTAGCTACTTGCTACTTCCTGTTTGAAGGCCTGAAGCAGAAAGTCCCTTAAGTCCCATGCAGAATTGATATGTGAGCCTCAGCACCAACTGTTCATCAACCCATTGCTCTGAATTAACTACCTGTGTACATACAGTAACTGTCTTTTTTGTTACTGCCCTCTGAGTTAGCAGAACAAAATCCATGAGCTTTGTTCAGAGTTCATCCCTGCAGCACATCCTTGCAAGTTGATGACTCTGTGCTGAAGCAGCTGAAGCAAATTCTCACATTCATTTTCACAGACCTTACTGAAGGTTACAATCCCAAAATAGTGATGTGACACAGAACAGTATCATTACAACTAGGCTTCCTAAAGCACCTATCAGAATCCCTAGATCCTATGGAGAAAAAAAAAACAAAAACAAAAAACAACAACAACAACAAAAAAATCCCCACAACACAAAGCATCCTACACCAAAACCAACACCACCATCCAACACCCAAACACTGTTCTCCTGTATGATGTGGCATTCTGAACATGCTACAATGAAGCCACAATGTAGAGGTCATACTAAGCGCTGGCAGCTGAACTGGTGAAGTGCAGATAGAAATCACTTTTCCAAACTTTGATTAGTAGTACTATTTAGTTCAGAACAGCATCCTGTTATCACACTTTTCAAAATGCAGCACAAATAAACAACTTTGATACACAAACAACAGCATATTATGTAGATTTTCCTTTTGGAATTATAATATATTCTATTCTCCAATGAGGTACTCTCTTTCTAGATGAGGAATTACATCCTCCAGATCTATTCAGCTTTTCATAGAAGTCTTGAAAGCACTTGAAAGACCTCTGTCTGACCTCCATGGGATAGACTTATTTGATCCTTTTCTGAACTAACATGTTGCTTACTGCAACAGCAAGAATTTAGATTTTAATTTTCATTTCTTTTACAGTTATCTCCTAGTCACTAAAAATCACAGATGCCTTTTCAATTCTGGATCACAAAAAATTCAAATTCAGTAAGGGAAATAATAGCTGAAACTTTTCACACAGCTAGGGAGAATCGTGTAGTGAAACATGTTCTGTCTGTAATGCTAATCCATATTGAGACTTCTGTCAAATCACAGTGCTTCACTGTGTGATCTCTGCTTACTTATCCTAGGCCTTCAAAGACCAGATAACAGCAAGTAACTGTTAGCCACGAAAATAAAATAAGATCCTTCCAATGTTTTAGAAAAACAACTCCAATTTTATTCTGGAGTTGCACATATTGTAGGAATATTGCGACTGTGTGTTAGTTTATTGAAGTAAGAAATGTTTTTTAATATAGTGTCTGGATGCTAGAATGCTTTATAATCTATTCATAAACTTGATAAGCAGTTTTTGCTTACCCTTCTCCAGTGGCACTTCTTGCAAGGATAGTCACTTTGGATGTATAATTTACACTGATCTCCTGACAGCGTTCAGTAAGCAAAGTTATTTCGTGACATATAAAACACTAAATGCCTAATACAGACTGTATCACTTCCTACTAGACTGCAAAAAAAGCTCACTTTTATCTTCACATGACTTAAATGAAAGCAAAAAGGTGTGTCTTAATTGAGGGAACCACAACAACCATTTCAGAGTGATGAACGTCAAAACAGACTGTCAAGAAGGGGCTGTTAGAAAATGCCTTGTGAATCCAAGTCAATTCTGCTTTGGTTTTTTTTTTTTTTTTTAAATATCCAGAAAGAACTAGAGTAGGGTCAACTCTGAAGTAAAAGCATTTCAATTTGCACCCTTCAGAATTTACTTCTTGCTTAGCCTTCAGCTGGAGGTTCTCTACCTCACATTCATTTTGTTTTCAAAACAAACATCATTGCTGGATTTCTGGTAAACACTACACACACAAAAAGGAGAAGAATTAAGTCACTGTAAGGCAACAAGAGATCCCAGTATAAACTATCTCACTGAACTTACTGACCAACTCAAACACGTGCCAGCTACATTCGTGCAAGTTATATTATCAGTCAATTTAAATGGCTGCTTCAGCTCCAATGAAATAGCCTCCTCAGATGTGGTGTTCAGCCAAGAGTGTTATTTAGTTATTTGAAAGTGTTCCATACTTGGCCTCTTGTTAAAAATTAACAGAAGAATCAGATAAATATACAAAAGCCCAGTTGGAAAAACAAAAACAAAAAAAAGCTTCATGTGGACATAGACTTACCCACTAGGGCAAACAAATGTCACTCTGAATTTATGCAGAACCAAAGTTCTGTTTAAACGACGACACAAAAACCAAAACACTTCAAATTGTACATGCTAGGAGACAAATCAGACAAACAGGATATCATTTAACCAGTATTTAAGATTGTCACTGAAAGATGCCAAGTATGTAACTCCTTATCCAATAGAAAAATCTGAAAACATCATTAAAATTTGCACCACAATCTACTTTAACTAATTTAGGTAAATGATCAAGTGATCTGATACCATAAAGCCCTACCCTGTGTTTAACTCAATAACATCAGAAGTCCATTTGACAGAAACATCTACAGTTCTCCACAACTCTTGGTGCCTAAGCTGAAAATAGTGATTTAATACCTGAGGGACTCTGTGCAACAGAAGGAGTGGAAGCTGAGCTTGCAGCCACTGAATCACAGCGCCCTGTACTCCCACTGCCACTGGACGGCGATGGTGACGAGAGTGGTGATGGATGGTGCTGATTTATACACTGGGCTACAGCAAAGCCTGCAAGAAAGGACAAGAAAGTTTACCCATAAGTAATTAGCTTGTCAAATTTCACCTACAGGAACAAATCAAGAAACACTAACAGAGAATGCTGCATCAGAGTGATGTTAATTCCATCAGGTGACTCAGAGGATGTACTCTCTCTCATCCTCATCTCAGGTGCCTGAAAATCTGAATGCATCTTACTCAGAACATTGATGCTACATATGAGTGCAGATCAGGGAACAAGGATATAGAGGTTAGATGATGCAAAATATTATAAAACAGAGCTTGTGCAAACAGTCTAAATGTGTCAGTTTGGGGTATATATAATGGTTGTACTCCTTAACATAACGAAAATGATCAGTTAAAAGTAAACAAAAACAGCCCATGGAACCTTTCTTACTGCAGTAAGAAGAAATTCACAAAAGATGTGAAGGTCAAGGTCTCAGAAATCCAACATGAGAGCCAAGACAAGAAGAATACATGGAATCTATATTGCACACTCACTGCACAATACTTCCTTTTTTCTCTTATAGTGAAAATTCACAGAAAATTCCATTTTAAAGGTTCCTAATGCAAAAAGATCTACGTTGTATGCCTACATGAACTCATCACATTATGACGCCCATTATAATCTTGCCACCAAACAGCAGCTAAAGACACAGCTATAAAGATATAGCAGATACAGCAGAATGATCTTCTTAGGCTCTCATACTACTTTATTTAAAAAAAAGAATACATTTAAGTGTCTTCTCAAAACTGTAACTCAGATTCCCATCAAGTCATGTATGGTGCTTTCCAACATTAATGCTGTATAATCTAACAATTTCTGTCCTGCTCTGCTAAGTGGGTAACAGCCAGTTTTCAGGAATGTTTGTAATTCTAAAAACAACAGCTAAAGAAATCCCCAGCATACTGTTAGTTTCTGAGAAATCCAGAGCAGGAAGCGATCTGCAGAGTACGGGCTGCAGCGTTCAACTGTGAAGAAAACAGGAAAACTTCATGCAAGAAGTCTTTGCATCAAGGCTACAAAGCAGAACATGGAATTTAATACAGATCATCACCTAGTCTTGCTTCTCTGCAGAATATGAGATGTCAGATCAGCATAAATAACACACAGTTGTTAAAAAACATTGAGAACCTGCAGCGCTTTCACAACAGGCTACAGAAATTTGTCCTTCAAGGCATGTTACAATCAATAGTCATTTTCTAGTTCTTATTTTTTTCAAAAGGAACCTGCCTAGGATTCAGCATTCCTTCTGCAGCATTCTGTATTTGTGAAAACAAACAAAATACATTTTAAATCATCATCAGTAGTCACTGTAGCTTCATAAATTAGGAGAGTGTGTGCCACCAGACTTGCATAGCCTGATAATCTTATTTGCCTTTAAGGTGCTCCTACAGTAACAGGCCAAAAGTCGTTTCTAATTTATTCCAAAGGCTTCTTCACCCAGCCCGCAGCTCCCCCAACTACCTAGAAATTGCTTAGAGCACCCAGATAGATGTTATTAGTCAAAGAACAGTAACTGATCTAATTACTGATTTGATAGTTGCCAGTTTGGGTAGAAATTGCAGAATGTAATTTTAACGTTCTTCACTATTTTTAGTGTGTCTTTGAAAATTAATGTCCAAAACCTCTACCCCATAGCACAACCTGCTTCCATTGGGAGAGCCTCAAAGACAACCAGGGGCAACATACAGCTACAGACAGTAACACGAAGAGAGCTGACTGGAATCCACCACTGCTTGAACTGTGCTTTGGCTATTCCACAGAGAAACAAAATATCAGCCTTACAGACAAATTATTCATATTTTCAGGCAAGTTTTATAAGACACTGATCAAGATTTTCCACTTTGTTTGAGTACAAGAGGTTCTTTAGGAATGATTTCCTCATCTGTCACTCACTGTTCCACTTTTCCAACAGAAACAGTCCTGAAAACAAAGTTCCTTCCCCACTGTAACACAGCGATAACTATTTCCTATGCAAAAGCCAAATTGCATCTCAGGCACAGGTAACAACACTGCCTGGAGGCCCCAAAGCCTCAGCAAGCAGGTTTTTTTTTGTTTTTGTTTTTTTTTCTTTTTCTTTTTTTTGCTTGGCTACCAAATAGAACAAGCAGAGATGGGCTCACAGCTGGTTCACAGGACTTGAGACACCCATCCTCACCCAGACAGGCCGGACGAATGACACAGAACTCAGCTTCATGGCACCCTTCTATGGGGTAAAGCATAACTTGGACACAAATATCAGCAAAAAGCTTTCTTTCCCATTTCATTTCCTGCGGGATTAAAATCATTTATATTGTATGGAAGAACTGTAGTGCATTAGCAATGTGTCTGGTTGACGTGGTTTACTTGTGACAATTTCAAATTATCACTACATTTTAGGTATTCAAAGTTCATACATGTGGAAGGCTTTGTTTATGCTGAGCTGAAATCTGTCAAAGACAAGAGAGTCTTTGGAAGAGTTCAGACACTCTACAATACAATCTTTTAAGAACACACTGTATTTGAGGAGAGAAGCTTGCAGCTGGGGACTGCAAGCAAAGAAAAACCCAAAAAGTTAATCCCACTTGTTTCCAAAGCACGGAACTTCAAAGTTACTTTATTTCCTTAAGACATCATGTTCAGTTACATATGACAGATGTTTCTGTTTGCCATTTGAAGTTATTGCATTTTCCAGTGCTTATTAAAACCACCTTGAAGCTTATGTTCCTATTTACAACACAATGAGCTTGTTTCTGCAGGGACAGAATTAAGTAAGTGTGCTCTGGCTCATAGCAGACTTTGAAGAAAGAGCATTCAGTTCTTGTATCAACCTCTTGCAACGATTTATCAGAACAATACTGCTCTGCAAAATGACAGGTCGAGGACTGACAAAAAGATTTGCTTTCACAGTGAGAATACTCCAGTTCCGACAAACTTCAAGAAGCACTTCATGCACTTGGTTGATCTCTATATGTTAAAGACTCAAGGTTTGCAACAGCCTCCAAACTGTGATCAGATGTCTAAACAAGTCTGGATATCTACCATGAGAGAAAAACCAGTGAGTTGCCCTTTACTGTGTCTCTCAATTAGCATTTTTTCCCCTTCAATCTGATTTTTCAGCTCAATTTTTAAGTTAAGAGTTTTCATGGTTTTGCTATTACAGTAGTAAATTATTTCACCTCAAATGGCACCTGTATCATAAAAATCTAGACGAACCAAGATGTTTATTATCTGCTTAGAATACCATGAAATTACCTCCTAGAATTTTAATACACTCTTCGAGCACAGTTCATGAATTGCCTGTCCTGCACAGTTCCAGTGATGACAAATACCACTGTACTGCTCACACTTCCCTCATTTCATATTTTCCTTAGAAGATCATACTCTTGTTGTGGTTTCTTAAGCAACATTCTGCTGTAACAACAACGTGCCCATAGGGATCCCTTGATTTTCTCACTGAGACTTTCCTTAGGCTGAGTCCTCCTAGAAGACAGAAGCTTTTACTCATTGCTTCAGGCTTTGATAACAGCTCTTCAGCAGCACATCTTGCCTTCAGTATGAGTTGCATCCACAACTGTTAGTTGCTTCCAGTGCTTTCCTCACTCTCCCATGGAAAGTATGAATGGCAAATTTTCCCTTTCATTGGCAGTTTGCTGAATTATTTACTGTTGCCATCACACAAATGCCACGAATTACCTAACAACGTACTACTACTTGCTGTCTTTGCTGTGTAGCAAGCACTGAAAATGCAAATGCACCAAGTAATACTTTATTCTTCTTTGAAATGGGCAATCTGCCATGGCACTGGATGGATGATTCACTCTTTATAGAGAATCATCTGCACGGGGAATTTGCCAACGCCTTGCAGCAGACAATCAATCTCCATGTTAAATCCCATTTAAATATAAAAAAAGAGATTACAAGAAGCATATGAAAGCTATAAAGTACAGATATGAGAAGTTCGGAAAATGCTTTTAACAGCAACACATACTGTCAGTCTGCAATACAAGGAAAAAAGCCAAAATAGATGAAGAAAGGAAGGCACACAGACAAAAGCTGATAAACCACAGTTGTGCCATTAACTGAGCTTCATGTGTGGTCCTACCTCTTACCCTGTACTGCCCATGCTTACAGTCAGGACCCAGACTCAAAACCCCCTGCAGAAACACAGTGCTATCTGAACGGCTGTAGTACTTGCATCATAATTTTAGATGGGTGAATGACACTTCACCAAGCTTTTGTCCTACTTTAACTTACTACTCATCACATCCAAGATAAACACTACTTGAAAGAATTACTTAACAGCTGTGCCAGGAGGCACCTGCTTTAGTTAAGATAGTCAGGATAGTTTGGTAAGGATCTCTTCATTCCATTAATATACATAACTTTCTTTATTTTCAGAAACCAAGTTGATCGATGCTCTACAATCTTTTAGCTAAGTTATACTGAGGTTACACACAGTAACACCAGATGGTCTGCCAAAAGCTAACCAAAAACTAAAGTACTCAAGTACAGTTTCACTCAGACAATTCTCTAAAGCAACAAGCAGTCAATAAACACAAAGGAGAATTTTGAAGACTGAACTTCTCAAAATATTTTAAAGCAATCTCTTCCCTCCTTGATTATTCCTCTACTCCAAAGCAATACAAGCACTACCATGTTTAAGACAACTTTTCTATCAACTGCCCTAGCATGTTTGGATGAGAATGTTTCCTGAACGGAAATATTTAAGCACTCACCCTGCCTGAAAATCCAACAATTTTCTAAATCTACAGCTAACGTGGAAAGAACAATAAATCCGTACTTAGGACAGCCCTTCATAAAACAGCATCCAGATGGGATTTTTTGCACTTCCATTAAAAACAAAAACTTTTAAAGCTGTGGGTCAAGATGCAACAGCAGACGGTTCTTCTGGGAAGCTAAATAACAAGCTCATGAAGGCTCCATGTATTCCATGGTAAACAAAACAGATATTAATTTCAAATTGCAGTAAATACATGCAGCAAAACAGTAAACAAAACTGTATCCT